AATTTAAATTAACCTATTCATCTATTTATTATTATGAATTTTTAATAAAAGAAAATCAAATTAGACCAGAATTATTAATATATAAAATATTTATTAATTGATACATAAAATAAAATAATTTTTTTAAAATTCTACCACAAATTAGCTTTTATTATGAGTTTCTTATAAAAAAATATTTATCAATTGATATACAAAGAGTTTTATCTGTACTATTATTAGATATGCAAAGAGTTTCAATATTTAAGTATTTATTTATTTATATAAAAAAATATTTAAAACACTAAAATCTACATAATAAAATTTAAATTGACCTATTTATCTATTTATTATTATAAATTTTTTAATAAAATAAAATCTAATTAGACAAGAATTATTAATATAAAAAATATTTATTAATTGATATATAAAACAAAATAATTTTTCTAAAAATCTATCACAAATTAGCTTTTATTATGAGTTTCTTAATAAAATTAAATCTAATTAGACAAATATATATTTAGAGAAAATAAAATAATTTCTATAAAACTCTATCACAAATTACCTATTTTATTTTCAATAAAACTCTATCACACTAGACAACGATATATTAAAAGAGTTTCTAAAAAACTCCAACACAAATTACTTATTTATCTATTTATTATGAGTATTTTAATAAAAAAAATCTAATTAGACAACTATTATTAATATAAAAAATTATTTATTAATTAATAAAAAAAAAGTTTTTAAAATAATTTCTATAAAACTCTAACACAAATTACCTATTTATTTATTTATTATGAGTTTTTTTAATAAAAGTAAATCTAATTGCACAAGAATTATTAAAATAAAAAATATTTATTAATTAAAAATTACATAATAATATCATCACATTCCGTATAAAACTCTTATTTTTAGTTTAATATAAAAAGAATAGGTATTTTTATGAATAATTATCACAATATAACCGGCCCGGCCACGTTATGATTATGTCATTATCCGAACACGACACATGTCATAATCCTATTAATCCAAGAAGCCTATAAATAGAGGCATGAAGGAAGGAGGAAGAGGTACAGAAATTAAGAATTCTAGAAATCCATAATTCCAGAGTAAATTACAGAAGCTCTGAAAGAGTTTCAGTATTTATTTATTTATAAAAAATAAATATTTATTAATTGATATAAAAAGGGTTTTTATCTATACAAATTAAACACTAAATTCTACATAATAAAATTTAAATTAAACTATTTATCTATTTATTATTATGAATTTTTTAATAAAAGAAAATCTAATTGGGTGAAAATTATTAATATAAAAAATATTTATTAATTGATATATAAAATAAAATAATATTTCTAAAATTCTATCATAAATTAGCTTTTATTATGAGTTTCTTAATAAAATTAAATCTAATTATATAAGGATATATTTAAAGAAAATAAAATAATTTCTATAAAAATTTATCACAAATTACCTAATTTATTTCCAATAAAACCCTATCATACTAGACAAAGATATATTCAAAGAGTTTCTATAAAACTCCAACACAAATTACCTATTTATATATTTAATTTGAGTTTTTTAATAAAATGAATTCTAATTAGACAAGTATTATTAATTTTAAAAAATATTTATTAATTGATATTAAAAGAGGTTCAACAAAGTTTATATAAACTCTAACACAAATTACCTATTTATCTATTTATTATGAGTTTTTTTTTTAATAAAAGTAAATCTAATAACACAAGAATTATTATAAAAAAAAATATTTATTAATTGATATAAAAAATTTTTTAAAAGAGTTTATATTAAACTCTAAAAAAAATTACCTATTTATTTATTTATTATAATTTTTTTAATTAAATAAAATCTAATTAGACAAGACTTATTAATATAAAAATATTTTTTAATTGATATAAAAAATAAAATAATTTTTCTAAAACTCTTTCACAAATTACCTTTTATTATGAGTTTTTTAATAAAAGCTAATCTAATTTGACAATAAATATTAAAATAAAAAGAAATTTATTAATTCATATAAAAAGAGTTTTAAAAATATTTTCTATAAAACTCTAACACGTATTACCTATTTATTATGAGTTTTTTTAGTAAAAAAAAATATAATTAAACAATAATATATTTAAAAATAATAATTTTTTTTTAAAAAATCTATCACAAATTAGCTGACTCTAAAATCTACCTATTAAAATTCAAATCAACCTATTTATCTATTTATTATTATGATTTTTTTAATAAAAAAATCTAATAGACAGGAATTATTTATATAAAAAATATTTATTCGTTGATATATAAAATAAATTAATTTTTCTAAAACTCTATCACAAATTAGCTTCTATTACGAGTTTCTTAATAAAATAAAATTAAATTAGACAAGAATATATTTAAAGAAAATAAAACAATTTCTATAATATCTACCACAAATTAGCTTTTATTATGAGTTTTTCATAAAAAAAAATCTAATTAGATAAATATTATAAATATACAAAATTATTTATTAATTAATATAAAAAGAGGTTTTGAAAGAGCTTTTATAAAACTATAACACAAATTACTTATTTATTTTGAGTTTTTTATTAAAAAGAAATCTAATTAGGCTATAATTATTAATAGAAAAAATATTTATTAATTGATATAAAATGAGTTTTTAAAATACTTTATATTCAACTATAACACAAATTACCTATTTATTTATTTATTTTAAAATATTTATAAATTGATATAAAGAGCGAATATAAAATACAAAATATAGAAACTCTGCCAAAGAGTTTCAGAATTTATTTATTTATATAAAAATATTTATTAAATGTGCAAGTAGTCTTAGTATTTCAGTATTTATTTATTTATATAAAAAATATTTATTAATTGATATTAAAAGACTTTTTATAATAAAAAAAATTCTGTAAAACTCTAAAATCTGCCCAATAAAATTAAAATTAACCTATTTATCTATTTATTATTTTGAATTTTTTAATAAAAGAAAATCTAAAGTTTTAATATTTATTTATTTATATAAAAAATATTTATTAAATGTGCAAAGAGTTTCAGTATTTCAGTATTTATTTATTTATTTAAAAAAATATTTATTAATTGATATGAAAAGAGTTTTCATAAAAAAAAAATAATAAAAAAAAACTCTATGAAACTCTAAAATATACCTAATAAAATTCAAATTAACATATTTATCTATTTATTATTATGAATTTTTTAAGAAAAGAAAATCTAATTTTTCAGAGTAAAATACAGAAGTTCTGCCAAAGTATTTTAGTATTTATTTATTTATATTAAAAAATATTTCTTAATTGATATAAATTCTTTTTTTATCTATACTATTATTAAATGTGCAAAGAGTTTCAGTATTTATGTATCTATTTATGTTAAAAAAATATTTATTAATTGATATGAAAAAAGTTTTTATAAAAAATAAATAAATAAACTCTATCAAACTCTAAAAGCTATCTAATAAAATTTAAATTAACCTATTTATCTATTTATTATTATGAATTTTTTAATAAAAGAAAATCTAATTAGACAATAATTATTAATTGATATATAAAATAAAATAATTTTTCTAAAACTCTATCACAAATTAACTTTTATTATGAGTTTCTTAATAAAATTAAATCTAATTGGACAATGATATATTTAATGAAAATAAAATAATTTCTTTAAAACTCTATCACAAATTACATATTTTATTTTTAAGAAAATTGTATTACACTAGACAAAGATATAATATTTAAAGAGTTTCTATAAAATTGTAACACAAATTACCTATTTATATATTTATTAAGAGTTTTTAATAAAAGGAAATCTAATTTGACAAGTATTGTTAATATAAAAAAATTATTTATTAATTGATCTAAAAAGAGGTTTTAAAAGAGTTTCTAGAAAACTGTAACACAAATTACCTATTTATCTACTATTATTATGAGTTTTTTAATAATAAGAAATCTAATTAGACAAGAATTATTAATATAAAAAATATTTATTAAATGATATAAAAAGAGTTTTTAAAAGAGTTTCTATTAAACTCTAACACAAATTATCTATTTATTTATTTATTATAAGTTTTTTAATAAAAAAAATCTAATTAGACTAGAAAAATTTTACCACAAATTACCTATTTTATTTTTAATAAAATTATAATACATTAGAGAAAGATATATTTTAAGATTTTACATAAAAACTCTAACACAAATTACTTATTTATCTATTTATTTTGAGTTTTTTTAATAAAAGGAAATCTAATTAGACAAGTATTGTTAATATAAAAAATTATTTATTAATTTATATAAAAAGAGGTTTTAAAAAAGTTTCTATAAAACTCTAACACAAATTATTTATTTATGAAAATCTAATTTGATAAGAATTATTAATATAAAAAAATATTTATTAATTGATATAAAAAGAGTTTTTATAGTAGTTTCTATAAAATTCTAACACATATTATCTATTTATTATGAGTTTTTTTTAATAAAAAATATAATTAAATAGGAATATATTTAAAGAAAATAAAATAATTTTTATAAAATATTCCACAAATTGGTTGTTTTATTTTCTATAAAACTCTATCGCATTATTTACATAACATTCAACACGTGCATCGCACATGCCTTTTCCTAGTATATATATATATATATAGAGAGAGAGAGAGAGAGAAAAGAAAAGAATTGGAAAAGAAAAGAAAAAAGGAAAGGAAAATAACTTTTCATATAAGGGTTTTATTTTTTCTTTTTCTTTCTAAATCATTCACGAATATGAATTTACAGAGTAAAAGGAAAAAAAGGAAAAAGAAAAACAATTATAAAGAAAAAAATAAAGATTATATATATGTTTGTGACTGTGTGTATATATATATATATATATATATACGCACCTGAGAAAAGAAAGATAAAATAATTTGGTCTTCAAATTTTATGTTTTAAAGTTCTAAAAAAGACACATTAATTATGACTTTCATAATTCATATTTAAACGAATCACACACTGCTGTTCCCTCACTCTATACGCTTCCATGGTACGCATGTCAGAGAAAACGAATAATCATACACGATAGAAACTTCTTCGCTGCCTGTCTTGTCGCCTAATTAATAAAGTTCCTCATCCTCCTCCTATATATATATATCCAATTCCATTCCAGGGTTTTATAACGGTTTTACTCTCTGTGGTTGAAAGAGTGAAAGGTGAAAATCGAAATCAGTTGAAGAATGGGAAAACAGGTGATCTCAATCGATGATGAGGACGCTCGCTTCTCTCCCTCCCTCTCTCTAAATGAAAACCACAACAGTAGTACTGGTACTACTTCAATCGGCTCCTCAGTGATTCCGATCGTCAACAAACTCCAAGACATCTTTGCTCCGTTGGGAGTCGAACTCTATTCAAAGATTAAGAAGCTACCTCAGGTGGCCGTTGTGGGCAGCCAAAGCAGTGGGAAGTCTAGTGTGTTGGAATCCCTCGTCGGCCGCGACTTCCTTCCTCGCGGCTGCGATATATGTACACGTAGGCCCTTGGTTTTGCAGTTGGAGAATAGGCCGTCCTCTTCCTCTTCCTCTTCCGATGATGGCAGTGAATGGGGTGAGTTTCGCCACTTGCCCGGGAAGCGATTCTATGACTTCTCCAAGATTCGACAAGAGATTCAGGTACTTTACTTACTTCTCCAACCTCCAACCGATTCTATAACTTTTTTGGTTTGAGTTTGTTGTACCCTTCACTATCTATTCACACTTCACCTACCTCACACCCTATGAATTAGTCAATCTCGTGAATCTAGGAAAAACAAATTTCTCAAATAAGCCTTCAAAATGTGATTAGCTGCCCCTGCAAAAGCCTCCAGTTCTTAGATCACCAGGGTCAGGGTGCCATTTATTGATTCGTTTGCAGTACATTCTACGTACCCTTCTGAATGAGGGAAGCTTCTTATTTGAAGAGTAACCTCTCTTTTCGTGAGCATAGAATAAATAATAAATTAGATTCCTCAAGGGAATGGCTGTTTGGCAGCATAGAAATTCTATGGTAGGCAGTAGCATTCAGTTATAACAATGAAGATGGTTAATGAATGGACAATTTCATTATTTTCCTTGCTCATAGCCAAACAACTAAATGTGTAACCCTTCCGCTTTCTTGTTGATACTTGCAATACATTTCAATGTCTTGGAGAGTCCTTGTTGAATATTTGGTTTCTAGAATTCCTTTTCATAATTCCAGGAGGAATGAATTGATCACCTTGTTTAGACCCTGAATCCCTGATATATTTCTGTTAACTTTTTCTTTGCGTGTTATGACTTTTCTATTACAAAAGCTAACAAGGTCTAAGCAGTACTGAATGTTTCCTTTGCTACGTCTTCTTGAATTAATCAGTTAATGGAACAGATATTGAGTGACTAAAGTAATAAACCATTTCTTAAATATGAACATTATTTTCCATAAAGGAAAATATTCCTCAACTTGTTTTTATATATTGTTGGTACAGGCTGAAACTGAAAGAGAAGCAGGGTTTAACAAAGGAGTTTCAGATAAACAAATTCGCTTAAAGATTTCTTCTCCAAATGTCCTTGATATAACTCTTGTTGATCTACCTGGCATCACTAAGGTTCCTGTGGGAGATCAACCTAGCGATATAGAAGCAAGGACTAGGAAAATGATTATGGACTACATCAAGCAAGAATCATGTATCATATTGGCAGTTAGTCCTGCAAATTCTGATCTGGCAACCTCTGATGCACTACAGATGGCTAGAGAGGCTGATCCAGCTGGTAGGTCTCTTAATTCATTTCACTTGTTTTAATAACATCACTTGCAATGGGCTCATCTATCTTTCTTAATTTACATCTTGTCAATCTGGCCACTGGATGATATATCTTTATCTTGTTTATAATGCATGCCAAATATCAAGCCAGTTGGATATATCCAATCCATGAATTATTTCTTTGACATAAAGTATTAGCACAGATCTCTAATCTAAAGAGTGACGCTTGTGAGGCAGATTTCAACCTCAGATAAAATTGATTTTTGGCATGCATGACAAAGATGAGAAGGATATTCAATCCAAAAATTGTGTTGTCAAAAGCCAAATTGCAAAAAGAACAGTTACTAGTGGGTGCGATTAAACGTATAAACTTAAGCTGATCTCGCCAACACACACTAACATTATAGTGTGCTAATGATCTTCATATGCCGCACTGATGCATTGTCTTAAAACTTGTTTTACAGGTTCACGGACAATTGGCATAATTACAAAGGTTTGTGTTGCATATTTGAATCAAGAAGCTTTATTTTTCTCCATCTTTCGACTCTTTTTTGTGGTCATAGGTTGTCATCCTGATTATATGCGTAACTGTATTATTGTGGTAATTGTACTCTGGATGTAGCTAGATATAATGGATAGGGGTACAAATGCCCGTAAATTTCTGCTTGGAAAAGTCATTCCTCTTCGCCTGGGTTATGTTGGCGTCGTGAATCGCAGTCAGGAGGTAACTTGTTTAAATGTTTATTTGCATTATTCATCTGTAGTATTTACAAGCTCTCCCGTATATCTGTTTACTTTTGACGCTATAAGAATGTAACTGAAAGACATGAGAGGATGTGATTTGCTATTTTATGGATTTTTTTTTTTTCTGAAGTTTTCTGCTATTTTGTTTAGTTTAGTGGAGATATATTTATAAGTAGCATTGAACAATCTTGATGTAACTGCCTTCTGGCTTATCTTATTCAATTAACCGCGGTTCACTATTTTTAACTTTCTCCAATTGATAATGTAGATACATACTTTCAACTTTCAAGTATCGAAAATGTCTTTTCTTTAAGATAATACTTTGTTAAATAGATCGATTTTTTTTTTTTTTTTTCCATTTGTTTATTATAGAAAGAAATCTCAAATATTTTGTGTCTCTCAAATGTTTTTCGACTTTTTAAAGGAACCTGGATCAATCACATACATTTCAACGGCTTGATGAGTGGCGCAAAAGTATGTTAATACCACAATATAAAAATAAAGGGGACATACAAAGTTGTACTAATTATTGTTGCATTAAATTGATGAGTCATACTTGAAAACTTTGGGGGAAAGTGATTAACAACGACTAAGAAGTAAGAACAAAAATTGAATTTTAGAAAATTTATTTGGTTTCATGCTAGTGAGATATACTACTGGGGCTATTTACTTATTGAGGAGACTAGTAGAAAGATATATAGAGAAGAAGAAAGATCTTCTTATAGTTTTTATTGATTTAAAGAAATCCTATGATGCCATGATGGAGTACCTAGAGATCTAATATGGAGGGTTTTAGAAAAGAAAAAGATTATTAAAGGATCTAATATGAAGCCTATGATGGGATTTAGGCTAAAGGACATGTATGACGGATATTTGACTATATTTAGAATAATTGTGGTAGAAAGAAGTGAATTTTCAACAACTGTAGGCTTACATCAAGGGTCACCATTATGCCCATATCTTTTTGCCCTAGTTATGGATGAACTGACCAGACACATCCAGGATTGTTTTGAACATTGCTCGATTGATGAAACTAGAGAAGGAATAAGTGCTGAATTGAAGTTTTGGATGGAAAAACTAGGATTAAAAAGGTTTAAAATATATAGAGTGTAACTTTAGTAAATCTAGAAGTAGAAATAGGGAGGTAGTGAAGATTGAGGATCAAGAGGTACAAAAAAGTGATCATTTCTGTGACTTAGGCTCAATAATATATAATGAAGGAAAATTTGGAGATGATGTTACAAAATAAAGGCAAGATGGATTAAATGGAAGAGTGCATCTAGTGTATTGTGTGATCGGTGTATCCCATTGAGATTGAAAGGGAAGTTCCATAAAATTGCTATTAGACCAGCTTTTCTTTATGGGATAGAATGTTGTTGGGCAGCTAAGAAACAACATATGCATAAAGTGAGACGGAATATGAATATTGAGATTGATGTGTGGGAAATGAAGAAAGGATTGTATTGGAAATGAGTACATCTGTGTAATGGAAGGGATTGTGTTAGAACTGAATACGCTTGTGCAATGGTTGAAGGAGCACTAATTGGAGATAACATGAGAGGCAATTGATTAAGTTGGTTTAGGCATATACAAAGAAGCCTACTAAATGCACCCGTTGAGAAAAATGACGTGGTCCAAATTGAGGGTAATTCTAGTGAAAGAGGAAGATCAAGGGGCAGAGATAGTAAGGAGGAAATATTGTAAAATGTGAAGTTGTGGCCATTTGGGGATGAAAAATGACAAATGCAGGGAACAAGCCATTATGTACAAGGGTTTGATCCAGTCCACAACTTTGCCTTTGCTCATTATATGTCATCTTTACTGGAAATTGTCTAAGAGCCAGTGGATCTTTGGCATGCTCTATTAACCTCACTTTAGGATTGGGACACACAAATTGGCAGGTTAATTACAGGATGAAGTTTTCACAAAAATAGATTCAATTGAAAAAGATTTTGATACCCGATTGCAGACTTTTCTTCAAAAGGGTTTTCCACCATCTGAAGTGATTGATTTAAATCGTAAGGCTGAATTCATCAATTTGAGTTTTTTTTTTAGGAATTAATCTTCTAAATGGAACCAGTCATGTGGTGGATTATTCTTGAAGTATTGCTGATGTGGAAATCTGTTTCCAATTGGATTGTAGTGGATGGAAATATCACCGAGAGCAGCCAATTTCCCTTTTAGCCTCATGTGTGAAGAGATTTTTCATTGTTCAAAGAAAGGACTTCATAATCGTCATTACTTCTCTTCATATTTTTATAAATATTTTTATTTATCATAGAATATATTTTCTCTATGTTTTTTTTAATTATTATTTTTATATAAGTTTCCCCATATAATACCTCGTTTTAAGCCTGTAAAGTTTTTTTTATCATGGTTTTCAATAAATATTCCTAGATGTGTGTCTGTAATTAGAAAATGTATAAGTTGGAAATTAAATGTTTGTTCTATAGAATTTTTATCGTAACCATAATCATGAATAATCTTTGATGTATCGTCTTTGTAGTGGATATTAGTTGAAATAGTTTTTTCAATCTGTAACAGGACATTAATAAGAACCGTAAGATTGCCGAAGCACTTGCGTATGAGGAACAGTTCTTCCGTGACCGTCATGTACTTTTCACTTTTTCAGATTATTATTCTGGCTGGAATCCTTACACAGTCTTGCATTGGTTATGAAACATCTGACATTATTAAATTTCATGCATGCTGAAGATATATAACGGTCTCTCTGATCAGTGCGGCATCCCCCAGTTAGCAAAGAAATTGAATCAGGTTGGTTTACTACGTTTTAACCCCCTCTATGCATTGAGCATGTAAGTGTCATTATTACTTGTCATGAATGCTTTATTAAATACCTTTTTTTTTGTTTAATTAGTCTTTGTTGTGTCTGAAACCAACAATTTTTTATTTTTATTTCTTTAAATTGAAATATAAAAAAGAACAAAGTTACTATTATTTTGGCTAGTGAAATTCATATATGCAACTCTTTTTGTCTGTGAGGAATTATGTAACAAGTTTTTGCTTCCAATGCAACTATTTATATGCAAAAGAGTGTTGCAATTTTAAGAAAAGTGAAATCATGATTGCTTTCCCAACTAATAACTAAAAATCACCATTTCAGTCACAATGTCTTTAAATATAATATGTTTTTTCTTTTGAAAAACGAAAACGAATTCAATGTTAAGCAATGACTTGCTCCCCATGCTTGTTGAGAACTGAAAACCACTTAAACATAGAATTATTCGGATGGTATCTATCTGCCTTTAACATGGTGCTAGTTTATCCTTAGAAAATATTCAACTTTTAATTTCCAATGTCCAGACTTGTCTACATTCTTGTTCCGTTCGACATTTCTCAATTGAATTTGCTACCTTAGTAGAAATTTTTTGAGACTTCATTGTTCTCCATTTGTTATGAAATTATCGCAAAGGAAGTATAGACCTTTTTCCTTTTTCATAAGTACAAAGGAAGTATGGATCTTTTTTCTATTTCACTATTCAGTGTATTTTATTTTGTTTTCGATGTGGAATGCCTACCTGCTGACATCGTGGTCATATTATGGCTACAGCAAAGGGTCTATGCTGATCTCTGCGTTATTTGATTCTGTGGCCTATGTTTTAATTGACAAAACTAGGTACAGGATATGCCTGAAGTTGGAAGAACTAATAAATGAGTTGAAATGAAAAAGCCTTTTAAGTAGGATTAGGGATATTTTCAATGTAATTTTAGCATTCTGGAGTATAAAATGAAATATTATTGTAGATAATGGTTACGGGAGGATGTCCGGGTTTGACCATTTTAGTAGCATGGGCACTTCTTAAAATGAGCTATGTGTGTTTTACCCACCTTGTTGGCTGTCTGGAAAGTTGTTGCCCACAATGTAAACTTGTTTAAAATTTTCTCTATGGAAAATTAATATCACACTCATGGTTTACAGTTTAAGCAAGCCGAGCATGCAGCAACTCCTTTCAATGTTACAGCAAAAAGAGAATCCTACACGAGAATAGTAATATATAAAATTTGTTCACGTATTTGATGTATATTTCAGCTTTGTCTTCCATTTTATGTGCAATTAATATGGGAAAAAAAAGCTAATTGAAAGTTGTAGGACTGGAACTTGAGGCTCTGATAGAGAATAACGCAAGGCCCGTGATCTAGACCTAGAAGGGGGATGGGTGAATAGGAGTTGTTTGAGTCCACCAACACATTAAGAAATAATTCATCTCGTTTGACCTAATTAATGTGCAGAAGTGCAGGGTTCTTATGTCGTTTTATGATGGAAATTTTTATAGTCTCATTATGTTATATCAATTTTCTCGTGTGTTGTGTAACACTATATGATATGGATAAATTTATATGTCAGGATAGTAAATTTACAAACATGCATATTGGAGTTGTATCCTATGAAAATTCTCTGTGATAATCAAGCTGCAACTCACACTGCCATTAATCCGGTTTTCCACGAGTGTTTACTTTTTGGGGAGTTGCAGTGCGGACAACTGTTTGTCTTAACTGCAGTTTACTTAAAAGTTTCCCCCCCCCCCCCCCCCCAACACACCAACCCACAAATGCTCACTATGGGGCTCAAACCCCTCACCTCCCTTTTGAGGGAGGAGAGGTTATACCAGTTGGGCTAATGTCCCAGTGATTGGCAGAACTTAGATTTTGATCACGCAATTATCCTAGTATATTCATTTTCCCCTTAAGTTGTTGAATTTTCTTAATCATGGAAGGAGTTTGTAATCCAATGGAATGTATTTACATTTAATCAAACAAACAATAAATTGCTATATCTGAATGTTCACATGTTGATCTCCTGAGGAGAAGAAAGCAAATTTCTTGTGGGGAAATACACAGAAAAATTTGTTGAATTTTGCAAGTAAAAGATTTTTCAATATTATTGACTCAGTTCTCTTGCTGTCTCTTCATCTCTCACACGTAAAGGATGTTTACAGAAAATACAATTTAAGAAAGGAAGGAAAATATATAATGACTAATGGGGTTTGTTAAGATTTTCAAATGTCTCTGTACTGAATAAAATAGAGATTGCCTTGACGGAGAACTTATGACTTCCGACTCTCATGACTCAGATTATAACACGATAGGTTAACTAAAAAAGACACGACTATTAAATGACCTAATCACTTAATAAAAGACTAGGACTCTTATGACCATTTATGATAAAAGACTGAAAAAAAAGGAAGCAAAATGGTGATAGAACTATCGTGCAACTAATTTGATTGTTGTGCAGCGTAGTTTTCGTATGCATTTTCTGATGCTCCTGTCTATGATTCCACATCCTTGATTTAATTATGCCTTTTAGGTTTTTCACTGATTATTTTTTCTTTTTTCTCTCTTATTTTCTTTGTCTTATCTATTTATTTATTTTACATCTTGGGCATTTTAATATTTATTAGTGAAAACCATTATTATTTACCATAAAAAAGAACAAAATCATTTTATAATGATCTCAGTATGTGGATGATATCATGAAGTTGTAAAAAGATTAGAGGGAGAAAGAAAGAAAAGATGTTCTGTTTGTGTGTAAAGAGAAGGAAATTATAATGCACTAATGCTCAATCCGTTTTACGTTCTGTTTCTGTGTATTAGACATTTACTTTCTGTTTCAGATTTTGGAGCAGCATATTAGAGCGCTTCTCCCTGGTTTAAAGGATGAGTTAAATTCTCATTTGTTTGCTGTTGTAAAGGAGCTGCGTACATATGGAGAGGTTGTGGAATCAAAAGTAAGTCAGCAATATGAGCTACATAAGTTACTAGAAAATTTTCAGTATTATCTGGCACTGATAACATGGCATAGAACGTCAGGGAAAAATTGTTGTTGATTGGTAAGGACATTGCTTCCCAATTCCCAGCACTCGTCAGCTTAAAAAATAGAAAGAAGTACCCGTGACTTGCATCTGCTTGCACTATATGTTCTGTTACTTCTTGGGACATTAAAAGAATCTCAGTATATGAAGGAAATATTTTGATATTGTTCAGATTCATGAGAGATAGGGAGAGAAAGAGAGAGAGATTGAGAGAAAATGTATGTAATGTATATCATCTCTTCAGCCCTCTAAATAAGGCTTATATAAGAAAAGGGTTAGAGACCCTAATTACATAATTACACAATAACCCTAACTACTATGGGTAATTACATAATGACCCAACACTATAAAGAATATACATTCTAACACTCCCCCTCAAGCTGGAGAATATATATCAAATAATCCCAGCTTGGAATAGATAGTCTTTAACCGATTATGACCCAGTGCTTTGGTAAACATATCAGCTAGTTGATCTTCAGACTTCACAAATGGAGTAGAGATGCTACCACTTAATATTTTTTCCCGAGTAAAATGACAATCAACCTCAATATTCTCTTATGAAATACAGGATTCGATGCTATGTGAACTGCTGCTTGGTTATCACAGAACAATGAAGTAGGAGTTTCAACGGTCAACTCAAGTTCTTTTAGAAGATTTTGTGTCCATGTCAACTCACTAGTGGTATGTGCCATTGCCCTGTACTCAGCTTCAGCACTAGATCGAGCTACCACCGTTTGCTTTTTACTCTTCCATGTAACGAGATTTCCTCTTACAAATGTACAGTAGCCTATAGTAGATCTCCTATTTGAAGGAGAACCAGCCCAGTCAGCATCTGTAAAACCTTCCACCCTGAGATGACCATTTGAATGGTATAGTAACCCAAAACCTGGAGCTCGCTTGAGATATCGGATAATCCGAAGAACAACAATCCAATGTGGCATTCTAGGAGCTCCCATAAACTGACTTGCAACACTAACTGCATATGGAATATCAGGTCGAGTGATAGTGAGGTAAATTAATTTCCCAACAAGGCGACGAAATCTGCCTGGGTCATTAAATAGATCACCCTCATCAGACACAAGTTTTGTATTTGAATCCATAGGAGCATCAACCGGACGATCACCTAACATACCCGTTTCTTCTAGCAAATCCAACACATATTTTCGTTGAGATAAACTTATACCTTCCTTGGATCTAGCAACTTCAATACCCAAGAAGTATCTAAGTTTACCCAAGTCTTTAGTGTGGAACCGATTTTGCAGAAACAACTTCAACTTAGCAATGCCTGCAGAATCATCACCTGTGATCACAATATCATCTACATACACCACAAGAAAGATGAAGCCAGCTTTAGTGCGCAGGTGAAATACCGAATGATCGGTCTGGCATCTATTAAGACCAAATTCTAATGCCGCCTCAGAGAATTTCCCAAACCAAGCCCGCGGAGATTGTTTCAATCCATACAGGGCCTTTTTAAGGCGACAAACAGTGTGACGAGACTCCCCCTGAGCAACAAACCCAGGTGGTTGCTCCATATAAACTTCTTCAACCAAGTCACCATGTAAAAAGGCATTTTTGACATCCAATTGGAACAACGGCCAGTTACAATTGGCAGCAATGGAAATAAGAATCCGAATAGAAGAAATCTTAGCAACAGGAGAAAAAGTCTCATCATAGTCAACACCATAAGTTTGAGTGTACCCCTTTGCCACTAGACGAGCCTTCAACCGCTCAATAGACCCATCTTGAAGGTATTTAACTGTGTAGACCCACTTACAACCAACCGGTTTGGAGCCCGAAGGTAAGGGAACAAGTTCCCATGTTCCATTACGATGAAGGGCATCCATTTCATCTACCATGGCTTGCCGCCAACCCAAATCAGAGAGAGCATCCTGCAATGTCTTTGGAACAAAAGTAGCAGATACTTTGGATAAAAAACAAGATAAAGAGGATGAAATGTGACGATAGGAGACAAAGTTAGAAATGGGATGAGCAGTAACACACGACCGAATACCTTTACGAAGGGCAATAGGCAAATCATCAGGTAAAGGCGTCGGATCCGAAGACTCTGAAGGAGATGGAGGGAGCGAAGTAGGCGGTCGAGGTCGTCGAGTATAAACTTGCAAAGGAACAGCAGACCGAGGAGGTGCGGAAACAGGAAACTGAGAGGGAACCGATGGCAGAGGTGGCTCAGAAGTAATATCGAGAGGACTAGTAGAATCAGAAAAATATGGGATAGACTCAGAAAATGTTACATCAGCACTAGTGAAATAGCGTTGGAAATGAGGACTGTAACACCGATAGCCCTTCTGAGTGCGTGAATGCCCAAGAAAAACACATTTAGTTGCACGAGGGTCGAGTTTATCAAGACCAGGTCCAAGGTTATCGACAAAACACACACAGCCAAAGACCCGCGGAGTCAGATTAAACGATACGGAGTCGGGAAATAGAACAGAGTGAGGAGATTTACCGTGTAGCACTGATGAGGGCATCCTATTAATAAGATGACATGCCGTAAGAACAGCATCACTCCAAAACGTTTGGGAACATGCATATAAAATAAAAGGGCACGACAGACTTCCAGAAGATGGTGATTTTTATGCTCAGCTACTCCGTTTTGTTGCGGAGTATAAGTACAAGAGGATTGATGAATGATGCCTTTGGCATGAAAATACGTCGCAAAAGGGTCCGAGAAATATTCTTTGGCATTGTCAGAACGTAAAACTTTAATGGAACACCTAAATTGAGTTTTGATTTCTTTGCGAAATATTTGAAAAATAGAAAACAACTCAAAACGATTTTTCATTAAAAACAACCAAGTCATCCGAGAATGATCATCCACAAAAGTCACAAAATAACGAAATCCATTAATAGAGATATGTTTTATTGGTCCCCATACATCTGAATGAACTAATTGGAAAGGACTAGCCACACGATTATTAGCTCTTGGCTTAAAAGATACACGACAATGCTTACTAAGCTGACATGTTTCACAAGACAGAGACTTAACATGACTAAGACCGGGAACTTGACGCTGCAGAACTGATAGCGAGGGATGGCCGAGACGACAGTGCCACTGGAAAGAAGACAAAGATGATTGAAGAGCTGTGGGAGATGGTGCAAGATCGAAGTAATACAAGCCACCTACTTCATGTCCCATACCAATCCTCTTCTTCGTCTTGAGATCCTGAAAAAGACAACATGCGGGATAAAATGTTACAGAACAGTTAAGAGATTTAGTAATTTTGTTAATGGACAACAAATTAAAAGGGAATTGAGGAACATATTACACAGAAGAAAGGGATATAGAAGGGGTAAGAAGAACAGTTCCCAAACCCAAGACTTTAGTTGATGATCCATTAGCAAGAGTAACACTTTGAGAGGAAGGAACAGACTGAAAATCAGACAGGAGATGAGAACTACCAGTCATGTGATCGGATGCGCCAGAGTCAAGAATCCAGGGACTCTGACTAGAGGACAAAAGACATGCAGGGGCACTACCTGATTGAGCCAAGGACCCTATGAAAGATGAGGTGGAAGTCCGTTGTTGAGACAGAAATTGAGTATACTCATCACGGGGAATCGTGACCATAGCAGTCTCAACAGCCACATGTGGAGCAGTGGATGTGGCAGAGAGAGAAGAATCCCCATCACTAGTAGTCACTTGATGTGCATAGGAAGAAGATGACGGTTTCCCGTGAAGATCCCAACAGTAATTGACCGTGTGATTGGTAAGACCGCAATGAGTGCAAATTTTGGAGTCTCTGCCTTTGCCTCGACCACGGCCACGGCCGAAATGACCACCACCACCACCTCTACGAGAAGACTGAAAGCCACCCTGGTTCACAACTAAGGCAGAACGTTCACTGTTAGAAGGAGCAGTGACACCACTGGAAGTACTGCCTGAAGAGCCACTAGATAAAGTGGCACGCTGGAGTCTGGATAACATATCAGGTAGAGAGGGAAGTGTAGAGCTACCCAAAATTTGTGCACGAATAGGTTCATACTCTTGTGACAATCCTGTGAGAACCCGAACAACATTAAAATCCTCACGCTGCTGCTGCATGCTTTTCACATCAGAGATGATGGGTTGATACATATTCATTTCTTCACACAGTCCCATTGCTCGTGAGAGGTATTCTTCTAAACTGTGAGTCCCTTGCTGGAGATCAAAAAATTGTCTACTCACCTCATAAACTCTGGTTATATTACCAGCACCAGAATATAACTGTTGGAGTCGGGTCCATATCTCCTCGGCAGTGTCCAGATATAACAGGTTGGAGCTAATATGAGTTTCAATACAATTCAGCATTAAGGAGATGATCTGAGCATCTCTTTGTTCCCATGAACTAAAATTAGCATCACTGCTTTTGGGTTTATCTTGAACCAAATGAACGCCAAAGCCTTTGGCTTTCAGGAAAATGGCCACTGACTTGGCCCATAAAATGTAATTTTTTCCATTAAGCTTGGCTGAAGTCATGGGAGGATTAAAGGATGCAGGAGATAGGAGATCGGAATTGGAAGCCATGGAGAAGATTTTAAAAAAAAAGAACCTGGGAAAAATGCAGAATCGGAACCGGGTCGGATCTGGGTCGGAGCTTGAACCGTGTCGGATCTGGGTCAGAGCCGGAACCGGGTCGGATCTGAAACCAGATCGGACCTGGGTAGCTAGATCGGATCTGGGTAACTGGATTGGATCAAAACAAGTCTCTGCTATCCCGGTTTTAGTAAACCAGGATTGGAATAGTGTAGCTGCGCCACCAAACAGGGTTGTTCTCCTTCACAACCCACTAACAGACTTAGGCAAGCACACAGCGGCGACACCACACAACCTCCGCAACTTCCGACCAAGAAAAAAAAGGCGAATCGATGAAGCTTCACCTCTGCCAACAACGACGGTGGATGTCGGCGAGCTTGCTGACGATCGACGCGGCAACAACACAAGCGGCCAAGGGACTTCAGATCTGACGGCGACGAAGGAGGCTACAGATCTGACGATGACGACGACGGGCTTCAGATTTGACGGTGACTAAGGATGATGTTCTCAACCTACCGGTGACACGAACTTCCGACAAAGACACCGACGATATACTCACGATTCCAGTCGCTCTCATACAAGGGCAACACACTTATTGTTTCCCACACCCATGAATTTATACCGCTCTGATACCATGTTCAGATTCATGAGAGATAGGGAGAGAAAGAGAGAGAGATTGAGAGAAAATGTATGTACTGTATATCATCTCTTCAGCCCTCTAAATAAGGCTTATATAAGAAAAGGGTTAGAGACCCTAATTACATAATTACACAATAACCCTAACTACTATGGGTAATTACATAATGACCTAACACTATAAAGAATATACATTCTAACAGATATCATTACTGTAAAATAGATTTGATGCTGATTGAACATGCTACAGTGGATATATATATAGTCTGCCTATAATTATGCATCTAAGCACAAATGGACTGGGTTTAAGAAATTTGGGTATATTGTTATTTTGTTCTGAAAAATTCACTCCTTAAGATATCCAATTGAATGACATCTAGACTTGAAATAACATTTTCTTCTCCTTTCAGATGGTTACTGCTTGTTCTGCGCATGCATGCTTAACAAAACAAATACGAAAAAGAAAAAAAGAAAAAAGAAAAAAAAAAGTTGTTAGATTATGATTTTTTATGCCTTCATTTACTGACATGCATGCCATTAATTAGGCGGAACAAGGAGCGGTTCTGTTGAACATTCTGACAATATACTGTGAAGGTGAGACTGTTTGTTACATGCAATCATTTTTTTATTTGTGAATGAATTTTCAATTTATCACAGTAGATACCTTATCTTTGCATCTCAATTGTTTATTTGTTCGACTTCCAGTCCATTAAGGCATTTTTTTGGGAAATTGTTGTTAAATATTGTCTTCTAATTGGTTTAGCTTATCAAAAAGAACAAAGCTGTTCTATCATTTGGTTGGTTGCAATCTTTGAGTAGATTTGACTGTGGATATCTTTCTGTTTCGATGAAGCAATATGCTTGCTTGATTGAGAGGAGCTATAAACATTCCACTGATCTTCTTTCACCTTGCTTTGGCTTCACGTTCTCTTCCTGTTATATCATCCTTGAATAAAATCTTCTAGACTTCTGCTCAATTTGGATATAGGTGCTATATACTTTTTATTTATTTATTCAAGTTTATATATCTCAAACTAAGGAAAAAAAAGTTTATATATCTAAAAAAATATAAGAAATCTCTCATTTTAGGGATCGACCGCCCTTAGGAAGCCAATTAATTATATAGATTAACACATGATTTTTTTTTTTCTTCTCTCCTTTAGAGTTAACATTTAGACAACTTGAAACTTACGATGTTTGTGAAATTGGGTGAGAGATGAAGGGTACACAGAGCAGGAGCGAGAAAGCAGCAAAATTTAAAATTTGGTTAGACTGGTAGCGTCTTAGAGCTGTACACTTGTATGCTATTATGTATATATTATTTGCATGTATAAAATATTTTCATTATTTTTACATATTCTAGAGGTCATTACTTGGCGGAGGAATACAAATTTAATTTCATAATCAGTAGGGAATGTGGTTGATCAATGAGTAATCATAACTTCTTCTATGTATGGAAATATATAACATTAGTAATTTGGTATATATTTGAAGGGTGAAATGCTCTGACACCCCCTCAGGTTTTCTTTTATTGCTCGTAGATTAAACTAGTGCAAAAATTGCTCACACTCCCTGTCAAAGTTAACAGACGTTTGTATTTTAACAGAAAATGTACTTTTACTATTATAACCTTTCTTTATTTAATCAATGCATAAATTATTGTTGATGGTATACATAAAAACTGACTTGGCCCAATAAAAAACTGACACTTGTACTAAAAATATTATATATTAATTTTAAAATATAAAAATTTATTTCACCCGTTTTTTTAGCTCCATGATCCAAGAATTAAGAGTCCAATCATTCAAGAGTCCATTGGGGTCTGCATCAGTGGAGGATTGCTTGAAAACCATCAAATGCAATGTTAATGGTGGACCCTGTGTATTCACAATCAAAGAAGAGAATAGACCCAAAACAGAACAGTTACTCTCTTTCTTTCCCTCCTAGTAATCGGAATAACCACGTCGAACAAGACACACGAACAGGCCGTGTCTTAACAACCAAAATTCAAAGATTCACATTAGGGCTGAACACAATCCCAGAATTGATTTTGATTCCCAATATTCAAACCCACAATTCCAAAATTTGAAATCAGGATCTGGATTTTGATTCTGAAAATTCCAAAATTCGAAGTCACAATGGCCACAAACACATACATATACCTGCATATACACAAATAAGAATGCAACAAAATTTTTTTAAAAATATAAAAAGCTAAATTGAAGCGTGCGAGAGAGGAAGGCCTAGATAGAGTTAAATGCGTTTCTGGAACTCGAGGTGAAGGAAGGCAGTGGACTGGAAAAACTGGTGGCGTGCAGTGTTCGGTTAGAAACATGGTAGATGACCTTGTGACTTGAAGTTTTCGGTGGCCTTTTTCAACAGCGATCTCAAAAGCGTGATCGGGAATGTGAAGATTGACCTATCCATAGAGAGAAGTAGTGGAGTGGTGGTGTCGGTGTAGAGAGATAGAGAGGTTAGGCGAAGACGGGGTGGTGGAGGAATGGAAGCTGCAACGTTGGCTGTGTACGGATGGAGATGCTGGTCTGGTATACAGACACTTTGATGAAGAAGTATATTTAATACGGAGTAATTAATATATATATATATATATATATATATATGTGTGTGTGTGTGTGTGTGTGTGTGTGTGTGTGTGTGTGTGTGTATTATGTGTATAAGATAACCAGTTATACTTCATAAGAGTCACTATAAAAAAAGCAGTGGCATCATATGTGTTTTAATCGGATTAATTCATTTAAAGCAGTGGAAATTTTTTTTTCATTAAAAGCAGGATTGATTCATTTTTTAATTGAAGACACGGGAAGGGTAATTTTGGCATTTATGTTTTCAAAATAATTGACTTTTAATATGATTGATGGTCAACTAACCAGGGGGTGTCTCTTTTTTTTATTTTTTATTTTATTTTATTTTATTTTTATTTATTTATTTTCACTAGTTTAATCTGTAATGTATAAAGGCAAACCTGAGTGGGTGTCGGAGCATTTCACCCTTATTTAAAATAGCAAACATTGTGCTATATTTTATTTAAAGAGTCCAAGCCAAAAAATTTATACATTTTTTAGATTTTAAAAGATATATTGTTTAAATTTTTATCAATAAAAAGACTACTTCAAAGAATTCTAAAAGAGTTAGTATCTTAATTAAATAAAGTAAAACTAACAAATGTCTGCATAATCTGTTTGCACATATATATATATATGAAGTATGTACACACACGCACATACTTAATATCTATACTACTATATTATTTTAGGAATTTGTTTGGGTATCTCTTGTAATTATGACATTTATCAAGTAAATACATTTAAAAATATGACTGATGTTTTTTTTTTTTTTTTGATAAGTAAGATTTTATTAAAAACGCTCAAAAGGGGAGCGAAGCCCAGAGAAACAAAAGGAAAACAAAAGGGCCAAAGGGCGCCTTAGACCTTCAAAGAGGCCAATAAAACAATAATTTTCTCCATAGATCTATAATCTCTCCCTGAAACCCAACAAAAAAGAGTAGAAATAACAGAGAATTTAAGCATAGAAACAGGGTTCTTTTTTCCGTCAAAATATCTCCTATTTCTCTCAAGCCAAATACACCACCAGATACAAAGCGGCGTAGCCCTCCAAGCGTCCCTAATGCCAGCCCTAACAGAGACGCCTCTCCAAGCCTCAATCAACCCTCTAGAGGAAAAAGGCATGGCCCAATGGACCCCAAATAAACGAAGCATCAAATCCCAACAATCTCTGGCCATGCTGCAATGTAAAAGGAGGTGATTAACAGATTCCTTATTACATAAACACATGTAACAGTGATTGACCACCACTTGATTCCTCCTCCTCAGATTATCCTAGGTTAAAATCTTACCCAGAACAGAAGTCCAAGCAAAAAAGGCGACCTTGCAGGGAGCCTTGGACCGCCAAATAGACTTCCAAGGGAAAGGATCTCCATGACCAACTGAAAGACATCTGAAAAAGGACCTAACCTCAAAACGGCCATGCGAGTTAGGAATCCAGAACCACCAATCCGATTCCCCAAAAGAAATCACTTGGCTATACAACAGCTCTAGAAAACGAGAAACATCCTCGATCTCCCAATCCTGAAAATGCCTCTTGAACTGAACATCCCAAGACAGTCTCTCATTTTCAAGATGATAACAGTCAACAACCATGGCCTGTCGATGAGAAGCAATCCTGTAGAGCCGTGGGAACGCTAGAGCAAGAGGGAGTTCCCCACACCAGAGATCCTTCCAAAAACTGATCCTCCTTCCATCTTTAATACGAAAACGAACATGCTTGCAGAAGTCATCCCAACCTCTCCGAATGAAATGCCAAACTCCCACCCCCCTGGGACCACGCATCACCAGAGAGCACCACCCATCACGACTTTCCCCATATTTGCTAGCAATAACTTTCCTCCATAACCAATGCCTCTTGATCCCAAACCTCCATAGCCATTTACCAAGGAAAGCCTTATTAAAAGGCAACAACCTCCGAAACCCTAAGCCTCCAAACCGAATTGGACGGCACATTTGATCCCACCGAACTAAGTGAAACTTGAACTCTTCTCCTTTCCCTCCCCAAAGAAAATTGCACTGCAATCTTTCAATTCTCTCAGCCACTGAAGAAGGAATCTAAAACAGAGATAAGAAGTATGTAGGAAGGCTAGAAAGGGTGCTCTTAATCAGGGTAACCCGACCCCCCTTGGACAGGTACTGCTTTTTCCCACCCACCAACCTCCTCTCGACTCTGTCCACAACCGGATCCCAACTCCTCACGCATCTCGAAGAGGCACCCAAAGGCAATCCTAAATAAGAAAATGGGAAAAGAGCCAGTGCAACATCCAAGGATCTGAGCAAACAACTCAATTTCCGGAACATCCCCAACAGGCACAAGAAGACTCTTACCAACATTGACCTTAAGGCCAGACACAACTTGAAACCAAATCAGAATGCATCTCAAAGACCTCAGCTAGGACGCTTCCGCATCACAAAACACAATAGTGCCATCTGCAAACATCAAATGAGAAACCTCCAATTGACTAGCAGCGTCCCTGCCCACCCGAAAGCCTCTCAAAGAACCCAACTCCACAACCCTCTTCAGTAATCTGCTAAGAGCCTCCATCACAAAAAGGAACAGGAAAGGGGAAAGCGGATCCCCTTGTCTTAAGCCCCTCGAGCTAGAGAAGAAACCCGTCGGCACTCCATTCACAAGGACAGAGAAACGAGCGCTAGAGATGCAAAAAAGAATCCATCTCCTCCACCGCCCACCAAAACCCATCCTCTTTAATAGGTATAGAAGGAAACTCTAGCTCACATGATCGTATGCCTTTTCAATATCCAGCTTGCAAAGAACACCCGGAGCACCGCTGCTCAAGTGGGAATCAACACATTCACTAGCAATAAGAACTGAATCCAAGATCTGCCGACCTCCCACAAATGCATTCTGAGAGTCAGAAATGATACCATCCATCACCTTCTTCAACCTAGAGGCCAAGACTTTCGCAATCAGCTTGTAAAAACAACCCACCAAACTAATAGGGCGGAAGTCTCTAACATCCATAGCCTCTCCCTTCTTCGGAATAAGAGCAATAAAAGTTGCATTCAAACTTTTCTCAAAAGAGCCCTGCGCATGGAAGGCATGAAAAGAGCCCATCACCTCCCCGCAGACCACCTCCCAACACTCCAAAAGGAACCTCATAGTAAAACCATCTGGTCCAGGAGCTTTATCCCCATTACAGCTCTTCAGAGCAGAGAGAACTTCCTCTTTTGAAAAAGGCTCTTCCAAAACGGAGCACTCCTCTCCCGAAATAGAATAAAAAAGAATCCCATCAAGCAAGGGACGCCAAACAGCTGACTCAATGAACTGCGACGAAAAGTACTCAGAGAAACTCTTACTAATCTCTTCCTCTTTACTAATCAACACCCCATCCACCCTAATCCTCCCAATGTGGTTGCCTCTTCTGTGAGCATTGGCAAGTCTATGAAAGAATTTAGTGTTATTGTCTCCTTCGTTAAGCCACAAAGCTCTAGATTTTCTGTCTCCACGAAATCTCCTCCATAACAGCAATCTCAGCAAACTCTGCTTGACACTCCACCCTCCTAAGCTTCAAAGGACCCGTCAATAGACCTTGACTCTCCATCTTATCAATGTTAGCAATCTCAGAGAGAACTCGATTCTTTCTCCAGACTAAATTACCAAACACCTCTTTGTTCCAAACTTTGAGATCATTCTTCAAGAAACGCAACTTGCTTGCCAAAAAATGACTCGGAGTGCCAACCACTCCATACCCCGCCCACCAGGATCGAACTCGCTCCAAGAAACCTTCAACACGGAGCCACATATTCTCAAATCTAAATGGGAATCTTCTGTTACGCAGCCCGCCACAGTCCAACAACAACTGAACATGATCAGACAAAGGACGAGCCAAGATGGTCTGAACAACATTAGAAAACTTCTCCTCCCAATCACTCGACACCAAAAATCTATCAATACGAGAAAGAGTAGGAGGAGAACGCCCATTGGACCAAGTGAAAGGCCCGCCCACCAAAGGCAAATCAAGCAAACAGTAAGCATCAATAAACTCTGAAAAAGCCATCATATCAGCTGTCCATCTGCCCCCTGTCGATCTCTCAAAAGGGGAGGGAACGACATTGAAATCCCCCCCGATACACCAAGGCAACGACCATTGCCTACGAATCTCCCCTAACTCCTCCAAGAACAAATGGCACTCACTATCCTCCGTAGGTCCATAAACCCTAGAAAAAATCCATCGAAAGCCATCCTCCACCATATAAAAGAGTACAGGAAACCGAGAAACGCCCAACCTGAGACTACAACAAAGATATCCAACGGACATCCCACATAATCAGGATACCACCCGAAGAACCAATCGCATCCAAGGCACACCACTCCACGAATCTCCCACCCCACAAACTTCGAACAATCACATCCGTCATAGAAGCAATCTTTGTTTCTTGAAGACAAACTAGATGACCACCCGCTTTCCGAATCACCGATTTCACCACTTTCCTTCTAGTCGGGTCGTTAAGACCCCGAACATTCCATGAAAGAATTTGAAGCTTCATAGGGAAACAGTAGTATTGACCGTGTCACCCCTCCTCCCACTGGCCCTCTCCCTCTCCCTGGCCCCCCTCCTCCTCCTCCTTTCATAAGTAACGAGAGTTGAGGGACTCTCTCCTCTCTCACCATTGGAGCACTCCCCCTACAATCCATTCTATCAGCAAACTGAGCATTAAGAACATCAAGGAAAAGATTTGTCGCCTCCTCCATCCGACCATCAAATGACACACCCAAAAGAGAGCCTATCTCAACACCATTTTCTTTCAACCAATCTTTCTCCAAATCAGCCAACCCTGCATCAAAACCCCTTCCTTCTGTAGTATCCTCTTCTGGTCTAACAACTGCCAAAGGAGTAAGCAAATCAGCATCAGACTCACATCCATTCCACAAAACCATGCCCGCCTCCCCATGAACAGAGGAACACGACCCATCCTCCCCATATTCAACAGATGACAAAGATGGAGAGCAGCAAGAAAAAGGAGTTCCAAACACCTCATCAGCCAAACGATCATTCTGGTCAGAAACAGAGCCCTTCGACACAAGATGAGCTCTCAACTTGTTCAATAGCATAGCAGCTGAAACATCATCAATCCTTATCTGCACAACCCGACCCACACACACAGTAAAGCCGTCACTGCTAACATCACCCAACCGAGGAGAACCCATCTCAAAATCATCGTTGTGACCAGGTCTTTTCTCAAGAATAAGCTCCGGCTCCCTTTCAAATACCGGAGACAAGCACTTTGACACAGAAGCCACAACTCCCTTTTTCGGCACCAAGCTCCTTCGAGACACCCCACAAGGATGAGAAGTGGAAGAAGAAGGGAGAACGGGAGAGTGATGAGGCGAATCAAAAGACATACCCGATCCAGAGGCTAACTTCGAAACCGGAATCCGCTTCTGTTTTTCCTTTCTAGACCATTTTTTGCGAACAGGGGGGAAGATCACTTTCTTCTTCATACGGTGTCCCTGCAACAGCCCCTTAGAACTTCGACTTCTTCTAGAGCCTTCAGGAAACGCTGTGGACGGATTAATTTCAATGATATCAACAGCATCACATAAAGGCCCAAACCGGTTACCCAACACTATCCCAGAAGAAACATTAAAAACACCCGGACCTTCCTTCAATGCACAACCCAAGTCAACGGGTCCATGTCCACAACACACAACATCCAAAGATTGGGCCTTACCACCTCCATCTGGACCATCAGATGATAACACATCTTCGTTAATCAGGCCAGGCTTGCCAACCACAGGCCCACAAGAAGAAGAAAATGAGTTGGATCCAGAAGCCTTAACCCTCTGCCCATTATAAGGCCCAGTCACCGACTAAACTCCAAAATTGGCCTTGCTTTTATTCGGAGCCCAAGATTTTGAAATGAAATTGGATGCAGCTGTCAACCACTTTGAACGGCCAAAGCCTCTGCGCCAACCACTTGTCAGGCCGCCAACACTCTCCCTCCCACGCGCTTGATTGACGTGAGAACCACCATGCCGACGCTCCTTTCTCCACATCTGCATGAATGCCGGCCGGCCAAGACTGATGAGACCACCCTCCTTATGCCTTTTCCGGAACCTCTCTTGCCGACGAGAAGCAGTTCCATCCGATTTGACTTCTTTCCTTCTCAGAGTGAATAATCGTCTAAAACATTCCGAGTTACGCTTCCATTAATCGTCCCTCCATTCCTCCCATCTCTGAAACTCAGCCAAGCCTTTCTTCCCCAAAGACTCCCACCTTAACCATTCTGTCTCCTTCAGCAGGTGTGAACCATCGCCTCCTTCCAAATTATCCGTTGTCCGTACAAGCTCAGGAGGCTTCTCTTCCCACACCTTCACTTTGTAGCAGAGACGATCATCGTGGATGAAAACAAAAGGGGGACAAACCTTGCCGTCTGACACTATTATGCGAACCCTTTCAGCGTCAATTGATTCATCGGCGCCCACCTAAATGAAACCACCGCAAAGATCACCGACCATAACAAACAGGGCATGACTCCAAAGATGGAGAGGGAGACCATACAACGTCATAATCTTCAGGCCCTTACCCTTCAACACCTTGGAGCACCCCACCCTAAAACTCTAAGATTCCATTCGTAGTGTGGCCGTCCCCCAAACACGACGACCTTCTTTAAGCACACGAGCCGCTTCCTTCGCAGAAGGAAAACGAAATAGCAACAAAGAATCCGGTAGAGGTGAGATCACAACACCGGCAGAAACCTTCCAAACCCGAGAAGCCCAAGCCGCAATTTGAGCCCAATTACCCACATCCTTGTCGAACTTTCCTACCAAACACGATCGAAGGTCCTCTCTTCTTCTTTCAACCGAATCATTATCCAGGAAAAACGAATGTCCTCGATATGTGTTTGCAGATCTAACAGTTCCGCCTTGAAATAGACGGGGTAACCTCGCAACATCCACGAGTTCCTTGCCTAAAGATATGAATGTTATTGGAACTAAATGGATATTTAAAAATAAATTGATTGAGCTTTGTGTGGGCCCTTTTTTGACCTTTTTATACTTGTGGGTCGTGGAACCAATTTGGTACTCTTTTCTAGCCCGATATATAAGGGCATTAAGGGTTTAGAGTGGGATACTGATGGACACTGAAAATTACAGAAAAGAAGAGTGAGAACGAGAGCTAGAGTTTGGGAATTGAAACTTGTAATCTCTTGTTTTTCACATAATGAAATCTTTCACCGGATCTCCATCGTGGACGTAGACACACCTTGTGTCGAACCATGCTATATCTTTGTGTTCCTTGCTATATCTTTGTTTCATGATTGTTACTTGGTTTGTGGTTGTTTGTCACAACAACTTTTTCATACAAGGGAAGGGCAACATGGCCATTTTATAAAATTTGGTTAACGGTTGGGCATTGAGCATACGCAGCAAACCTCAGGGGAGGTCAATCTATTTATTTATTGACAAGTCAGGGGAGGTCAAAATAAAAAGATTCAAACGCTCTTGCAGTGTGTAATTTGGTAAAACCTCAGGGAAGATCAGTGTAATTTACCCAAATATATATATATATATATATATATATATATATATATATATAATATTTTTTTGACGAGAAAAGAGGAGACACCTTAATCTACTTTGTTTGTCTGGATTGCTGCAATGTTTTACTTTCTTATCTTGGTTCATTTCGGTTCTTGTATCCATCAATTCTGTTTTTGTATGTTTTATATATGCTTTGATTTGAAAACTTCTAAGCTTTCCTTTATCCTTTACAAGAGTTTTCAATGGTCCAAAAGTTTCCTTTTCTTTTCTTTCTCTTGAATTACAGCCTTTTCTGCTATGGTGGATGGAAAAAGTCAAGAGATGTCGACCAAAGAGTTGTCAGGAGGAGCCAGGATCCACTACATTTTTCAGTCCATTTTCGTAAAGTGCTTGGAGGTGACAGTTTAATACTCTCAATTACATTTAAGTTTCACAATTGCTGCTTATCCTACACCTTGCATTTTCTTTGGATGCAATATGTAAACCATAAGCTATGTTTACATGAAATATATTGCTTTTTTCTGCTTGGGACTGTTATCCAAATTGATGCGTCTTTTTTGTTCTTTTCGATTTCTATTAATTTTTTACGTTAAATCAAGTCTCTCCTTCGTTATATGCTAATGTTTGTGTAAGATTATTATATTAACTACTACATCAGCTACTAAGTACCTTAAATTGTATGTAGGAAGTGGACCCTTGCGAAGATCTAACTGATGATGATATTAGAACAGCTATCCGAAATGCAACTGGTCCCAGAAATGCTTTGTTTGTCCCTGAGGTGAGTGTCAGGATTAAACACAGTGGTTCTATTTTTTCATGTGTCTATGGTATAACTTATGTTTCTATAATTCTCAACAAATTTTGATTGGATGATTGAACTGAGAGTTTTACCTTTGCGAAAGTCCGTTGTGAAATCTATCTCAGTTAAATAGACCCAGAGGGGGGTGAATAGGTGTACTTTGTTATTTTGCTTTTGTTTTTTAGTTTAGTCCAATTTTAATGAATTAAAATGCAGTCAAACAATCTAACACACAATCACAAAGCTAAATAAGAGTTAAAAGTACAAGAAAGTTGGAGAGCAGAGACGTGAAACCAGGGATTTTTTATGTGGAAAACCTTAACTAGGAAAAAGCACGGTGACCAGCCGTGTTGAGTAAATCAATCCACTCTGATTGGAGAAAGAGTACAAGATCTGGTGCCTTCAGAAACGTGTCGCTGATTCCATTGACTTTGGAATCACCTGCCGTTTCTTTACCTACGATACTCAGTGTGTCTCCAGTGCCTTCGCAATCACCAGCAATACCGATCCATGCCAACGGAATCAGCTTGCGACAATCCGCTTCACGTATTGACCAATCGCCTTCACCTTCCCCAAATACGTGCAAAGTATTTGATTGAATCTGTTGTTCTGATCGCTCTAGATTAGCTTGGTAAATAAGATAGGATTCACATGATCACTGATGAACACACAAAGCTAACACTTTTGGGTCGAAGTGTGTGCAATGATTGAAAGAAAGAAATCTAAAAAATTCGGAGTTCATTTTTCTCTCCAAGCTCTCATTATTTTAGTCTCTCACTGAATTGCATAAAACACAGCTGAATATCTATTAACAAAAAAAGTCTTTGTTTAATGTTGAGAAAACAGAGGGAGTATTGAATTTTGTTACAAAGAGATAGTATGTTAAAGACGATCAGATTTCAAAGGCCTTGTTGAAGTGGGAAAGGTTCCATTGGTGCAATGAGAACTTCGATGGGACAATAGCTACTGGAGTTGAACAAGTTCAACCAGAAGCATGTTCTACAGGTACAAGCAAAAACCCCAAAACCTAGTTCTACACCAAAATTCAGTTCCAACAGAACCTACTTCTACCAGTACAAGTATTTTTCCTACTTGCAGAGTAGCTCACTGTATTCAATTATGCTTTTCCAGTAGCCTCTACAACCGGGGCATGAAAATATATTAAACCAGTGCAACGTTATACAGTCAAAACACTTGGCTAAATTTACAAGAATCCATTTCAATTAATTTTCATACTTTTAAAGCAAACCTTTAGAAATTCCAAGTGTACCCACCCACCTTACACGACAAACCTGACCTAATTTTGGTGTTCATAACTAGCTCTTCAGGCATGGCTCTTTGAAGATCAATTCACACCTTGACACTTGAAATACCCAGCTCAAGACTAGAATAAAACTACAACTCGATGGAATGGTTTTGAGTTCGAAATATGCCAAAACACAGTTATATTCCTAACATAAACTTGACATTTATCTTACAGGTTCCATTTGAAGTTTTAGTTAGGAGGCAAATTGCTCGATTATTAGACCCTAGTCTTCAGTGTGTACGACTTGTCCATGCAGAACTAGTAAGGGTAAGGAAGCCTCATCTGTGCCTGTTGCTTTTAATTTCTTTCAAAACTGATCATTTACTCCCCTTTCTCTTCCTACAAGATAATCAGACCAATAAATTTCATTGCAGATGAGCCGTGGATTCGAAGCAACTGAGATACAAAGGTTTCCTGTGTTGAGAAGGCATTTGGATGAAGTCATGAAGAAGTTCTTGCACGATGGCAAAGAACCTGCTGAGAGAATGATAGAGAGCATCATTCACATGGAGGTTTATCTCATCTCTCTGTTCATTTCTTCAATAAGTGTTGTTTATTTTAAAATAATTAGTACATATAAATACATGGATACTGGCAGCTGTTAGCTTGAGAGTCATCTCCTGCCACGCCCAAAAGGGGAGTTGAAGGTTCAAGGCTGATTAGGGACGCAGGGGCATGTGTTGTACTTGTTAAGAAAAGAACACACAAAATTACATGGATGCTTAAATTTGTAGAGATGAGAAAAGTACAATTCGCATTGAATTTTTAAATCTCAACTATCTAGCACGTGTCTGGTGTAGTAGAATTAAAATGAGATCCCATATCATACAATTTTGTTCAAAATACTGGAATTTTTTTTATGTCTAATAAAAATTGTCAGACATTGACAGTCAAAATATATACAATTGCTTTGAACCTATTAAAAAGATAAAAAGAACTGTTTTGAAGGTAAAAATTACTATAGCTTCCCTCAATTGTTTCTTTTATATGAAATTCTGTTTGGTGATTGTTCATATTGATTTGAGCTTTTACTTTGTATCTCTCTGTTCAATTTTTTTTTGGCAATGTGTCTTGAGAAATTTATGTGCCATTAAATCACTAACACATTAATAGAAATATATCAGTGCATATGATCTGTTTGGTGAAAATGGTCAATAGACTTTAGTTTCTCCGTTTTCCCTTGTTTTTTAATTAGTCAGCAATCCTTTTCTACTCTGTTGGTTGTTCACCCTGAGTCACCAATATGTACAAAATCAGAATTGTACTTAAATATGAGAGAGAAATTTATAGTCGCTGACTTACTAACCATCTATGTTATTTAGATTTAATCACAAGTGTGTGGGTTAGGTGTTTAGTCCATATAATTTTTTTTTGAATTTTGGGACATAGATCATGGCTAACATGTCAAAGTGTGTAAACAGAACATAGAATGGGCATATCTGAAAGTTTTTTTTTTTTTTGATAGTTGAAACACACACTCTCACTTTGCCCCTATCGTGACTTCAACCTTCAACAAAGTTAATCTCTTAAAAAGGGTAAGTAGGTAAAAAATTGAAAAAAGTGGAAATTTGGAATAAAGCAAATGATGGTTCTTTCGTACATGGGTCATTTGGAAAATGTGGGGATTTGACATGTTTACCAAAGAGAAAAGTACTGAATCTAAGTAATAGAACCTTTTATCATAGGGCAGACTGATGAGTCCAGACTTCCAGTTAAAGTAATACAATTAACCATGAATTGAATGAACATTTTAATTGTTTTTACAGTGTTTCTGCGTCCTTATGTGCTCATTTATTGGTGAGTCCAGACTTCCAGTTAGGGTAATATAACTAACCATTGATTGAATGAGTAGAAATAAAAAGAAGAGAAAGGAGAGAATTGCGTAAAGGCTTGAATGATATGAATTACTCATTCACAGCTCTAGTATTTATAGATAAAATGAGCACATGCTCATAGTACAAGAAAGGAAACTAAATCAAATCACAATTTATTCTAAAGCATATTTTATAGCATAGTCAAATATCTGCTATTATGGTAAGTCATTCCATAAATAGTGGCTATCATATATGCTAACATATGTATAGTCAAATCTTTGCTATTATGGTAAGTCATACCATAAATCGTGGTATCATATATGCTAACACTCCCTCTCAAATTGGTGCGTGGATATCTGAAACGCCCAAATTGGACAATTGATTCTCAAACACAATCTTGCTGATGCACTTTGTAAGAATGTCTGCAAGTTGCTGAGAGCTTGTGATAAATGGAGTGCAAATTTGACCAGAGATGATCTTCTCTTGAATGAAGTGACGGTCCACCTTTATATGCTTAGTCCTGTCATGCTAAACGGGATTTGCTGCTATGCTAATGGCAGACTTGTTGCAGTAGAGTGAGAATGGAAGTGACACTGGAAGGCACAAGTCTGTCATCAAGGTTTTCAACCATAACAACTCACCTACCCCAAGAGCCATAGCCCTATACTCTGCCTCTGCACTAGATCGAAAGACAACATCCTGTTTCTTACTGCGCCAAGTAACCAAGTTACCACCAATAGTGGTACAATAGCCTGAAGTTAACCTCCTATCTGAAATTGATCCTGCATAATCAGCATCTGTCCAAGCCTCAACACGTAAGTGACCATGATTGGCAAACAAAATACCACGGCCTGGACACCCTTTTAAGTAGCGAAGGATCCGAATAGCTACATCAAGGTGAGGGGCACGAGGAGAGTGCATGAATTGACTCACGACACTCACGGCATAAGCAATGTCAGGTCGAGTCATGGATAAATAGATGAGCTTCCCCACAAGTCGTTGATACTGACCAACATCTAACAACAACTCCTCCTCAGAATTAGCCAACCGATGATTCTGTTCACTCGGAGTATCAGCAGGACGAACGCTAAGCTGACCAGAAGTAGAAAGCAAGTCAAGAACATACTTGTGTTGAGAGATGAAAATGCCAGTCTTGGAGCGAGCCACCTCAATGCCCAAGAAGTACCGTAGGGGACCAAGATCCTTAATCTCAAACTGACGGCCAAGATAGCTTTTAACCTCATCAATTCCGGTAGTATCATCGCCGGTAGGAACAATATCATTGACATACACAATGAGAGCAACTGTCTTACCTCCTGAATGACGTAAAAACAAGGTATGATCAGCTGTACTTTGATGGAAACCAAACTTGAGCATAGCAGTGCCAAAGCGATCAGACTAAGCTCGAGGAGACTGCTTGAGGCCATACAAAGAATGACGAAGACGACATACCATACCAGAATGAGCAGGAGAACGAAAGCCCGGAGGAGGCACCATATACACCTCCTCCTGCAAATCACCATTAAGAAAGACATTCTTGATATCTAACTGAAATAGAGGCCAAGATCGAATTGCAGCAACGAAAAATAATACACGAATGGTATTCATCTTGGCAACAAGGGCAAAAGTCTCCTGATAATCTATGCTATAAGTCTGAGCATAACCCTTGGTAACCAATCGGGCCTTGTAACGAGCAACTGACCCATCTGGATTATGCTTAACTGTAAACACCCAACGACAACCCACAACCTTTCATCCAATAGGAAGCGGAACCACGTCCCAAGTCTGATTTTTCTCAAGTGCTTGTAATTCTTCTGTCATAGCATCACTCCTTTGAGGTTGTGCTAGTGCATCTGCAACATTAGAAGGAACAGGAACTGAGGCAACAACAAGAAGAAAACTCCGATAGGAGGGTGAGAGAGCATAATCAGAAACAAAATTAGAAATAGAGTATGTACAAGAACGTTTACCCTTTCAAAGAGCAATGGGGCGATCATCAAGTGAAACAATAGCTTGAGAAGGCGGAGTTGGTGCCGAAGGAACAGGGCAGTCGATCGTGGGAGTAGAAGCTTGTACCTGTTGTCTCCGACTATAAATCTGTGAAAAAGGAACAATTTCCCCTGCTGGAGGGGTATTACGAGGAGGAATCATAGAAGACGAAACAGGTAATGGTAGAGGAGTTAAAGACGGAAGAAGGTGATCATCCATTATATTCAATGGGAACCATTCACTCTGAGAACCAACTGAACCACTATAGTATGGTATATGCTCAAAGAAAGAAACATCCATGAATATAAACCGCTGCCGACTAGGAGGATGGTAACACCTATACTTTTTGAGAATGAGAATAGCCCAAAAACACACACTTTAAAGCCTTGGGGTCAAGCTTTGTACGAGTCTACCCCAACTACTGAACAAAGCACACACACCCGAAGACTCGCGGAGGAATAAAAAAAAGAGATGAATTGGGATGTAAGATTGAGAGTGGGGCTGCAAAGTTAAGAATCCTAGAAGAAGTCCTATTAATGATGTAAACAGTGGGAAGAACTGCATCTCCCTAAAATGACTAGGGAACATTCATGCCAATGCAGATTGCTCTGGCTAAGTCAAGGATGTGGCGATTCTTTCTCTCAGAACGACCATTCTGTTGAGGAGTTTTAACATTAGCCATCTGATGCTCAATCACAAATTCTGTACATAACCGTTGTACCTCCCCATAAGTGTACTTTGTACCCTGGTAAGATCTGAATTTTTTAATGGTACGACCATATTGAGTCCGAACCATTGTCATAAAATTTTTAAAAATGGTGTATACCTCATTTTTGGTTTTCATAACATAAATTCAAGTAACACGACTATGATCATCAATGAACAACACGAAATATCGAAATCCAAGATTAGAAGTAACTGGGCAAGGACCCCACACATCTGAATTAACAAGATCAAAATGTGTTAAAGCAGATTTATTACTACTAGCAGGATAATTAGAATGAACATGTTTAGCCATATGACATGTCTCACAGGATAAATCTAACACTGCCACGTTACAAAATAAGGAAGGAAATAAATGTTTCAAATAACCGAAAGAAATGTCCTAAATGCATGCGCCAAGGCATAAGCTGGGCTTTATTAGATGAAACAATATTAGAAATGAAGCTGAATGTACTTGAGGTGACAAAGGAGCATCCAACAGGTATAAACTGTCCACTTCACGTCCACTACCAATCGTCCGTTTCGACATCAGATCCTGAAAAATACAATGAGAGGGAAAGAACGTTACACTACAATTTAATTGTTTGGTAACGTTACTAACATAAATAAGATTTGTTGTCAACTTTGGAATATGAAGTGTATCTGACAAAGTTAATGAAGGAGTAACTAATATGTGACCTTTCCCAGCAATGGAAGATAGAGAGCCATCCGCAAGGCGGACCTTGCGTTGGCCAGAGCAGATACTATAAGATTGGAAGAGTGAGGACATACCAGTCATGTTGTCTGAAGCACCAGAATCAATGATCCATGGTGTCGAAGATGTAGATACGCTATGTGCAGACGCAATAGTACCTGAGTGGGCATAAGTGGAGGTAAGCTGAGATGATGCCTCCATTTGGTTGAAGAATTGCTTGAACTTGTCCAAATCAGCTTGAGTCAAGGTAATTGTGGCAGAAGATGTAGAGGCAGGGTTGTCAAAAGTTGAT